ACCAAGTAGCAAACCCAGAGCCCACAAAAGCAGAGTAAAAATTCTAACACTCAGACAGATAAAAATGCACATGTATCTGTGGGGAAAACAAAGAGAGATCAGCCTGTTACTGTGTCTATATAGAAAGAAGTAGACATAAGTGACTCCATTTGGTTCTGTATTTGAGATGCTGTTAATCTGTGACCCTACCCCCAACCTTGTCCTTGCAAGAGACATGAGCTGTGGTGACTCAAGGTTTAATGGGTTTTGGGCAGTGCAGGATGTGTCTTTGTTAAACAAGTGCCTGAAGGCAGCTTGCTGGTTAAAAATCCTGGGCAATGGAACATCTCGGTGTAAAACCCGATTGTATGCTCTGTTTACTGAGATAGGAGAAAACCACCTTACAGCACAAGGTGGGACTTGCTGGCGGGACTTGTTGGCGCAATGCTGCTAAGAGGTTTATGGAGATGTTTGCATATGGGTATCAAGGCACAGCATTTTCCTTTGAATTTATTCACATCACAGAGATCTTTATCCATATGTCTTACTGCTAATTTTCTCCCTAAAATGATCCTATTGTCCTGCCACTCCCTTATCTTTAAGATGGTAAAGATAATTATCAATAAATACTAAGGGAACTCAGAGACCGGTGCGGCGTGGGTCCTCTGTAAGCTGAGTGCTGGTCCCCTTGGCCCACTTTTTCTTTCTCTGTACTTTGTCTCTGTGTCTCATTTCTTTTCTCAAGTCTCTCGTTCCACCTAACGAGAAATGCCCACAGGTGTGGAGGGACAGGCCACCCCTTCAATATCTCTGTGATCTAAAAAAAATGCTTAAGTATTCAAAGATAGACAGCAATTACAGCTACTGAGAACATCATTGTAAGCAAACTGAGGCAGAGAAAACAAAGGTGCTGATGAGGATTTGAACCACCTAAGCTGCAGAAACCCACTAGATGGTTTCCTAGGTTTCAAGTTGGCATTATCTTTCAGAACGATTTTCTAGAAGAGATCACATAACACTGTTACAAAGGATCTGGAGAAAGGGACCCTGGCTTTACCACTCTGGCTCTCCAGGCATGCTTTACATTTTTCACTTCTTACACTCTCTTTCATATGAAGTTAATTTACAGACTTCCATCAAGCCCTTAGAGACCTTTTTGTACTATCCATGACAAGTTCTTGATGTTATCTCTGCATTTTTGACAAATGCAGTTAATTTACAAGGCAGTTAATATTTTTTGTTCAAGCACAATATAGCTAGAATAGGGTCATATACTCAATAAAACAAATATTTACCAAGCATTTACTGAATGGAAGATAAAAAGCACAAAGCATAATTACAAAATATTCTCCACTGCCACCATAAAAAAATTTTTAAAGGCTTACAGAATACAGCATAACATGAACAAAGCAAAACTAGTAAGGACTAAAGAGTGGAGGAAGGGGATATATCAGCATGAACTAAATATGACCCAGAAGAGCCTTGATGGTCAGACAGGTAAAGACAAATTGGGTAGGGTTAGGGCGTGGCTGTCAGGAGCACATTCTACAGGGGAAAAATGGCTGATACAGAAGCCTGAAAGGAAAAGTGGGCAGAGCACCTGTACAGGACTGTTAACCTGCCGCATCCACGGTACAATGCGCCTTTCCAGAACACAGCAGCAGGCAGCCAGGCCAGGGGGAGAAGGATCGCTCAAACAGCACCAGAGGCTGCATTCCAACTTTTCCTTTGTCAATGAGTCCCTTTTCATTGTTAGTTTCTCCTTAAACATAAAGACAATTGGCTGAACACGCGGGAACAAGGAAATCCTGACTGAAGAATGAGGTCTTTAAACTTAAGGGCCTTGGGTCCAGGCGCGGTGGCTCACACCTGTAATCCCAGCACTTTGGGAGGCAGAGGTGGGTCATTTGAGGTCAGGAGTT